CCCCAAAACCCCAAAACCCCAAAACCCCATGAATGCAGAATAACTTTTTAGTTTGATTTAAATTAATTTAAAAATAAAACATCATCAATGAATAAAATTAAGATTGAATTTAAACTATCATTATATGATTTATAATACCTTATCAAATGAACTCTTTATTTTAGCATCGAAAACAAAAAAATATGAATACCTCCATAACTATAAATCCACTGCTATAGAGGAAGACATCTTCGTTTGATCCATTTGAAGATTAGTATAATGAAGCTGAAGAATCTAAATCTAAAATCAGCATGGATGATACAAAACGAAAGGGCCTCCAATTGAAGTAATTCAATTAAAATTACAAAGAGGATTCTACGAAAGTGATCAGAGACTGAAGTAAACATATTATGAGCCATGCTAAAAATAATAATAATAGTAGAACTGTCATTGACTCACTAGATTCCGAACATGATAATGCAACATTAAGGGTTAATGATACAATTTTTGAAGCAATAACTTGAACAAATATGGATTAGGCCTCAATGAATACAGACTAGCCCATAAGATAGAATCCTGCAAGAAATCTATAAATAAATACTGGTTTTGCCTAAAGGTTCAAATTTAATCTAATCTAAAGTGATAGTAATCCGTTAGTGGAAGATTAGAAAAATGAATAAATTTATTAGTCAAACCCAACAGTGCCTCATAAAATATAATAAAGCCATACTAGCATTATAACTGAGAAGTTATTTGGCCTAAGAAATCATAAAAAGCATCTATCTTTTTGGATGAAATGCTAATCAAATATATTTGGAGTTTGCATGAAGAAGCACAAAAAGCAAAGAGAAAATTAGAAAATCCTTTTAGATGCACTTAGAAAAATGAATGATAATTATAAAAAGAAATAATAAAGAACTGAATAACTCTGGAGGAAGGTCAGAGCATTGGTAAACTCCGGCATGTTTATTGCAAAAATTAAGCATTCATCTAATAGCAGACTTAAAAAAAGTTAGACTGGTATCTCGGATAGAAAGCAAACTATAATCGAGAGGAGGATGACTCTTCTCAAAATGGAGAATAACAGATACATGTGTCTTATAAAAAATAACAGCATGTTCAAGATAGTTTGGGAGTTTATTATTGCTCTCGTGTTCATCATTACATTTTGGATTATACCTCTGAATATTGCAGCACTTTTTAAACCATACCAAGAATTGAGGGTGCTTGAAGTCCTAATAGATTTTGTGATCATTATAGATATTATTATAAACTTTATCTCAGAAGCTGAAACTGGAGATGGTGATACCATTATCTATCTCTCTGATTCCTCTAAACACTATCTTAAAACATATTTCATCATTGATGTTTTAGCTGTGATGCCCTTGATTTTATTTTGGGAATCTGTAAATAATTACTACTATTTCAAGATAATCAGATTTGCACGAATCAAAAGATTTTTCATGTTTTTCAAGTAGCTTGAAAATTTATTTACTAGTTTTTGCTAAAGATCTTTAAGTCGTCCTAAGGCTAAAAGAATTATAGAGATATTCAAGATTATTGTAGTTTACTATTTTATTTTCCATTTACATTCGTGCTTCTGGCATTACATAGGCTTAACTAACCATAATACCAACTACATTTATGATAAACATTAATCATAAAACTACAGAGACCCAAATTCAAACTCTACCAAAGGATGGATCTCTTTGGTTTTTAATGATACAACTAATTATGCTAATGAGGATTATTTGTAGATATATTTAAGATCACAATATCTGATCATTTCAAGCTTTGCTACAGTAGGATATGGGGATATTCATGCAACTGATTAGAATGAGTACATATTTATACTCTATCTAATTATGATCGGACAACTGCTGTTTTCATTCTTCACTGGTAAGCTTAAAAGCGCTCTGCTTAAAGTTGACAACTTGGAATTTAGTTTCATCAGAAATGAATTAATAGAAACGGTTGAGTTGTTCATGATGAAATTTTCAAGCATTAAAGGAGCTAGGAAATTCAAAAGTTCTGAAATCAAGAGCATTCTGCAATTTGTTGAGGCCTCCTTTTAATACAACTTTAAATCTATCTAGAAAGATGAGTTTTACTAATTGATGTCTCCTAATTTAAGAAGGAAATTGATTTTTCACTTGTTTGGATCATATTAAAACAAATTTCTATATTTCTTCGACGATTTTGACTCCAAGTATAAGGCTAGTGACCAATTTACTTACATGGTATTGTAAAGTCTTCAGTGCATAATTATCACTCCTGGTCAAGTAATAGCCAGATACGGAGATTTATTTACAAATCTTTTCTTTGTGCTAAATGGAAGTATTACAGTAAAGAATAAATATAAGGATTTCATGGTATCTTACCTAAAAGGGTCAAATATTGGAGATTTTTAGTTGATTTTAGGAATAAAAACATAGTTTATCTATTCAGGAACAACAGAAAAAACTAGTTTCTTGATGAGTCTTGAGAGGGATATTTTTCTTACTGCATTATCATAGGACTTTGATGCATTTTCATATCTAACTAAGATTGCTTTAAGAAGAAGGAAAGACTTGAAAAGGCTTAATTAGGAGCTAATCAAAAAAACATAAGAAAGGAATAGAATAGAATAACTGTAAAAGAATAAAATTATGACATAATCTTTTGATTCTCCTACTTTGAAAAAACATTCAATAGCCTTATCAAATCGATCATTTGAAATAATAGAACATCACAGTAGATAAGATAAAGTTTCGGTTTCAGATCTTTCTCAGCGATCTTTCGATATGGTCTCTTAAATTAGGCAAATTTAACATTAGAGAAAACTTAGAGTTTTATAGCTGCTATAAATTAGGTGTTACATGTAAAGCAACAACTATATTGGGTATTTCTTAGAGGACTTAGCGACTGCGAAGTAGAAGAAAGATGAAGAGGAAAAGGAATAATTAATAAACTAAAATAAAGATTCAATAAATATCATAAAAGAAGAAAAACATGAGAGCTCTGTTTAGTCTCAGAATTGTAGTGATTCAGATTCTAGTTTTGTGTAGTCAGATGAATCTCCATTAAATAGCCAGGATGAGATCAGCTTTGATGAAGAAGATGAATACAGTTTGCCTGAAAGTTATAGGTTTTACTCTGAGAGAATTGGGGAGACTGAGCATGTCCTAAAGAAATTTAAGAAGATGATGAATAACTGTCAAGAGAAATTTTAGCATTTAAATAGATTACTTAAGCAAAGTGATGTAAGTTCACTTAGACATGTTAGAGAAACGCTTAGCCTAAAAATATTGTTGTTCGACAACATTGATTAGTTTGTTGAGGATGAAGGAGCGAAAAAGATTCTTAAAAAACTTACTGTTTACACCTTTGGAGGATTAGCCAGTTAAATATCTTAGGATCAAATTCATCCTTTACCATCTTCAATCAGATCAAATAGTCTTTTTCTCGAAGATTCTTCAAATAGATCACCCTACTTAAGGGTTTTACATAGAAGGAACATTCTAGACAGAGATAGTCCTCAGGGAACTATAGAGAGATTTACTAGCAACTAGATCGGTCAAGATTACAAATAATTTTAATAGTTGAATACACTCTAATTTGAAAGTAACATCAGATTAGAAGATCCTAAAATTAAAATTTCGAATGTAGAAACTATAGAAAAAGAAGAAAATCTTAAGGATGAGCAAAAATTATTACTAACTTTGGAGCAATTATAAAAATAGGGTGAAAAAAGACGAAAATCTTCGAGATATATAAAGCCTTTAATAAATTTTGATGAGAGTGTTGCCAATCTTAAACATATGAATAAAGAAATCAGTAATTAAAGAATTCCGACGGATTCTGTTTATTAAACTTTAGAGAAAGAGGAAAATGATGCATACCAATACTCTTCAAAAAATACTACATAGAACGTTGATTTCCTTGCTGGATAGGAATAATCTCTAACACAATAACTAGAGATGCAATAAAATTTAACATAAGATATGAGACAGAAGATCAATACACCTGCATTGTCAATTCCACCTTAAACAGTCGTTTCAAGCAGTAAGCTTTCTGTTAGGAGCAGAAGAATTTCAAGAATCTCTAGCTAAATAAATCGTAGAAAGTCAAGAGTATCTCGAGGTATAGCGAATGGAAGTAGAGAAAGTACTCAGCCACTGCTAACCTTAAATAAGCTTATTGAGGTATGCATATATCTTATATGATTTCTTATAGGATGCATAGAATTTTGGTATCTATACGAGCATAGAATCAACAGGGAATAATAGAGAGCTGGAAATATTAAGTTAAATCGATCAAATTAAAGAGGAAGAAAGGGTGCTTGAAGATATGCGTTATTGACTATACTAATGGCTAAATTATAAATTTGCTGCATTAAATATTGAATATAGAACTCTTGGAATTATATGTAGTATATTTTAGACATAAGGTTACATGTTATAAAAACTATTTTAATAAAAGTTTAAAAAGTTATTTTCAAAATTTACTATTAAGGTTAAGAGGGGTTTTGGGGTTTTGGGGTTTTGGGG